GATATTATCGTTTCTAAACATCGATCATTGCTGTTGACCAAATACACGAAGACTTACATCAAGGCACTTCGTGTCATTTTATTATAGCTGGGACCTTCACAGAGCTCAAAGTGCTGATCTTTCTTCTGGTACAGGTCAAAATGTGTTACGGGTGACAACCAGGGACAAATGGCATCCCCGGTATGCATGGCATGCCGGGTTCCCCTGGGGCACCTGGCCGTGATGGAGGCGACGGAGCCAAAGGAGACCAGGGCAGCCCGGGCAGGACTGGGTCCCAGGGACCATCCGGTGCAGAAGGAAAAAAAGGAGATAAAGGAGAGTCTGGGGCGCGGGGCCCCACCGGTCAAAAGGGACAGCGAGGAGAGAAAGGTGGAACTCAAGGATCGCCTCAGCTTTCCTCGCACATGAACTGGAAAGAATGCACCTGGAAAAAGGAAGACAACAAAGACTTAGGTGTAATCCAGGCAAGTGATTCACAGCATGAGTGTATAATGTATTCAACAAAGTTTTGTCATTTGTTATTACTATGAATATGGGATAAAATTTAATCGTTGAACAGGTCGGAAGCTGTAGGTTTTTGTCGATCGTGCTGGCATAATTTTTGGCATAATCTAGCAAATCGACCATAATTTTTAGCCTTAATCTATATTTAGCTCTGCTAGCACAACTGTGGCTTTTCTGCCTTCACGAAGTGATGTGATTTCGTTTTGAATATGTCTTTTTACCTGCTCTGTTTTTAAAACTTCTGTCACTGTTGTCTTCGGGTCGCCTATTTCTTGGTCTTAGGCCTCTTGCAGACGGGTCGATCAGTAGTGAGCTGTCTGAGCATAAAGATCTCAGTTGGCGTCCTCGTCGTCGATCTCAGCACTTCCCAAGTTCCAGTTCAGATAGTTCAGCAGCTTGCAATGTCATACCGAGAGTTTCAATCTTTTCGAAGCGTTCATTGAAACCGTCATTGAGAGCGAATTAACCAATTCATACCCCCACCGTAGTAATACTGTACAAGGGGGGGGGGGAGGGGGGCTCAAGGAGGTTGATGTACCCCTCCCATAGGTTTTTCGTTCTGTTAAGGCACAAATAAATACATTTACGTAAAATTAGATAGCCCTGAGCCTGCTCTACAAGGTGATATTATTTTTGTGAATTATGACGTCATTTGACCCGCCATCTTAGATCCACTTTCTTGGATTTCACCATTTTCTCAAAAAGTCAAGAAATAAAGGAAATTAAGGTGGCTCAAAACAGTTTCCTGTTTTTTTGAGACTTATGGAACTAGGTACGATTTTTCACGCTTGGAACTGTACTCTTTTGAATGGCTGTGCAATCCCTTTAAGGTAACTCTCCACTGTACCTTTATGCTTAAATCACAAATTAAGGTTGCACTGTTCCGATACATAGCAACAAACTTAACTCACTTTTTACCATCAATTGCGTTTATCTTAAAAAGTAAGTCGGTGACCCTGGGTTTTTGTTCTAAAAATCTTTTTCTTACCCATAGAAGGGAGAGGGAAAATTTTAAAAAATTCGGTGGAGTTGATTTTTGCTGGAAATTTCCACGTTGGAGTAATTTCGCACATACATTCCGCTTTTGCTGTTGAATAATTTTTTGCATTAAAAAGGTAGGATCACCGAATCAGCTCAGGAGATATTAGCTTCGTGGTTAAGGACTTTTTTGCGCGTGTTCTACGCGCAAATTAAAATCTCGACTTTGCAAGATCGATCCTTGCGCACGCAAGAAGGTGGTCAGTAAAGGCCACAATTCCACGCGAATAGATCAATAGTTAGATCGGCGAATAGTGTTTTTTTGTTTTTTTTCGCTGTTGTCGTTAGCAGCATAAGCGGTAGAAGAAGAATGCCATAAATGCCCGAAGGTGAGACTGGCTTAGTAAAAAGAACGAAGAAAACCTGAAGAGTAGTTTTTTCCTGCTGTTTTTCTAAAATGATAGCCGACGTGATCAATCGCAACATCGACATCCCAATTTTCGTTTACGTTCCAGCACAACGCTTAAAAGAATGTTTTCCCTTTGATATTGCCTGAGGGATGGATGTTTTTGTAAGGTAAAAATAACGATAACGCAAACAGCTTACGAAACTTGATGGAAACAAAGTTTTACTTAGTAGGCCTTGCGCCGTCAGGTTTGTTTTGATTTTTGAAAACTTTAATCTCGCGCGCTATCTCGCGACCCCTCGGGTGATAGCGTGATGCCTCACGCTGAAGAGCACGCTAGAGCCTAGGCGTTTTACGGAAACATTACTGTTTTGAGCCACCTTAATATAAAATCAAGCCAGGATGCTTAGAAATGTAGAAAACG